CTGCTCAAGTGATGCCATGAGACACGATTTCCCTGACCACCTCACTTACATTAACAGTCCCTCCACTCAGACCTTCACTTTACCTCACTTTTTCTTTTTTCATTAAATTTATTGGGGTGACTCCTTACTTTCTTTTTCTACCTAGGCTTACCTATCACATGCTACTGACGTTTTTAATGTGCCTATTCCATGTCCCTACCACCAGAATGCACTCTCCATGAAAGCAAGGACCTTCTCCATCTCGCTCACTACTGCATCCTCAGCAGAACACGTCGGGCCTGTAAGAGGTTCTCAATAAACACCTGTTGAAAATTCCATGGCTTGGGCTCGGAGAGAAGAACAGTTGTTGCATGGGGAACATGGCAGACAGTTTCTTAAACTACATGCAATTTAGTTTATCATGAGAAATATGAAAACCCTTCGTTAACGAAATTGTTTTGCTTTATGAAAATTTACTCTTAATGCACTGAATACCCTAGGTTCTATAGCAACAAAGTATAAATTACTCCAAAACTCCAAGTGAGAATTACAAGAGCTACTCAGTAATAATTACAATAAGATAAAAATATTATCTACGTGAGTTTTCCAAAGTTACTACTATCCTGCAAATAAACTTATAAAAATAATACTATATAGTACTTTTTTCACATTACAATAAAATCTCAGTAATTCTAAAAGGTAACTGTATCTGGAGATATAAAATATAGATGTCACAGAAATATCACCTTAGTCAAGAAACCAAAATTTCAACAAAACTTCCCTAGAACAGCCCAAGACACTCCACTACAGTCCTGGATCATAAATTTTATGACAAGGTCAGTCCAGAGAGGCTCCTAAGTAGCTTACATTTTCCCACCAAGCATTTCACCGCTATTGGTAAATACAGATTTGGTTATAAGAACAAAATAAAGAAAAGAGAGCCATTCCAAGTTCCCTCTTGCCCCTGTATGTTTTGACAGAGAATTAAAGAGTAAATAAAACCTCCAAAGAAAAAAAGAAAAAAGGAAACCAAATGGGGAATGGATGTTTGGATAAATTTTATCTATCAACTCAGGAGTAACCAAGAAATAAACCTGCCAGGGCCAGCCGAGTGGCTCAGTTGGTTAAGAGCTCACTCAAGAGTGTGAGCTCTGAGTAACAGCAGTTCGATGCCCAGCCCGAGCTGAGCTGTCGCTGAGCTGCCAACAGGTGGCAGGATGGCTCAACTAAAAAAAAAAAAAAAGAAAGAAAGAAACCTGCCTAAGTGGTGTTCAAACCAGCCAAGAGCTATTTTTCAGGACCAGAAAGTATTTAATAATTAAAGGTACAACATCCCAGTTTTCATTAAAACTAACATGTTTTATCAACATCCTTTAAGAAATTCCATCCAATTTCACTCACTTTTAGGTAAAATGGGAAATGAAATTGTGTGCTTTTGAAACACTGGATGGATGGTGTTTTCCTACATAAAGTGTGTGAATATTTCTATACATGCAAACATAACTAACCACTTAATACATACTGTTCTACAATTTTTAATGCCTGCATAAAAGCTCCTTGTATGTATCGTGATTTATTTAACCCATCCCCTAGTGTTGGAGTTTTCGTTTTATTATTCTTATTATAAACAAAGCTGTAAGGAACCTTTCTGTACATGATTTTTTGTTCGCTCAAAAAGGAATAAGCAAAAGTTTCAGCACTGGTGTTACAAGTGAAAACAATGTTACAATACCTGATACTGTCCATTTACTAAAGAAATTGTCATTCTTGGGGTCGTGGCTCATTCATGCCCCACCTCTGTCTTTTTTCCTCAGGAAACTAATCTTTTTGTCCTTGTTATTCACTGCTCCAAAGGATAAACAAGGAAAAACAGAGAGGGACCGAGGTAAAACCTGTTATACTCCTTAGCTGAATTAAAAATAAAAAACAATAAACTGATGAGCAACACACATTTACCACATTACCTAGCAGCCCTTTTCCACCAAGGTTCCCAGAGAAAAAGAATGCCCTAAAGCTAAGGTACCCACTGTGCGTCATGAATCCACTTTCTCCTGGGCATCTCTAGAGCCCACCACTGCTAGGTACGAGGTCCATCCTAGAGGAAACTGAAAAACCAGTCATTTAAGTCATTCTCTCTCACAGAGCCCAGGTAGGGAAAGGCCAAGTCCTGGAGCACATTTAATTTGTCATATATAAAGGAACACTAAGTGCCAAATAATACAAGGCCTAACAATTAAGTTCACGAACTTGTTGAAACAATGTTGCTAACCTTTTTTGATATCAGAGGGATATCCATTATGAATTTGTACAAACTGGACAGTTAATCAAGTTTACTTTCTGGAAGGGCTGAAAAGGCTGCATGAAAAAGTTAGACGACCTGAACTTTTCGCCAACAATTCACGGCTCTTGCATCACAACAATGCACCAGCTCACACGGCACAGTCTGTGAGGGAGATTTTAGCCAGTAAACAAATCCTGTATTGGAACACCCTCCCTACTCACCTGATTTGACCCCCAATGACCTCTTTCTTTACCCGAAGATAAAAGAAATATTGAAAGGAAGACATTTTGATGAAATTCAGGACATCAAGGGTAATACGATGACAGCTCTGATGGCCATTCCAGAAAAAGAGTTCCAAAATTGCTTTGAAGGGTGGACTAGGAGCTGGCGTCGGTGCGTAGCTTCCCAAGGGGAGGACTTCGAAGGTGGGTGACCGTAGTGATAGTCAGCAATGAGGTAGGTAGCACTCTTTCTAGGATGAGTTCGTGAACCTAATTATCCATCCAACCTCGTATAAAGCTGTTGTGCCATCTTCCCTTTTCCATCCCAACAATGTCCCAACACTTCTTCACTAGAGTTCACTATACTCCTACAGTTGGGTTGGTTTTCAAGCCTAAGTAAAGTCCTTCACAAAAGTGTCTGACTATTTACTAGGTGAAATTTCCCTACACTAAACTATAATTACAGTATAGCTAGCTACCAGTGTATTTTGGGTCTCCTGTCCACTGAAACAGAGCCTTTAAAACATCGTCTAGTCTACTGGTATTTACTGAGGGGCCGTATCATGAACTGGGAAGAATTGTACATACACTTGACAGACATGCACATGCTTATTTTACATGCCCAAAAGCGCTACCAAAACACAGGCAAAGTAATCTGGCAACACAGTCAATGTCAGCTAAAATAGTCACTCAGGTTCCCAGAGGACTGGACCTGGGCAGGCGGTAACTGGGTACCATACCAGAAGCTGTTCAGAGCACCCCGTGTATCCTTTGTATTTCAGTCACACTGACATCAGAATAAAACCAGGATATCTCTTTTGAACATATCAAGTCAGCATTATGCACACTTGTACGATGAGGAGACGAAAGTAACTCCTCTACGCAGCGGTTCTCAACCTTCCTAATGCCGCGACCCCTGAATACAGTTCCTCATGTTGTGGTGACCCCCAACCATAAAATTATTTTCGTTGCTACTCTATAACTGTAATTTTGCTACTGTTATGAATCGTAATGTAAATATCTTTTTGTTTTCCGATCGTCTTAGGCGACCCCTGTGAAAGCGTCTGTTCGACCCCCCTAAGAGGTCACGACCCACAGGTTGAGAACCGCTGCTCTACAGGATAGACTAAGGGCGATGGGAACACCATCTTCTGAGGGGCTGCTTCACATTTTCTAAAAGAACAAAAACTGTAAATAAGTTTGCCAAAAATGAACAAACTGGTTTCGCAAAAAGCTGTCTTTTCTTTCTTTTTTTCACTTCAAAAAAAAATAAGATCCATTAGTATCTTATGATTCAAACGTGACAAATTTGTTGGATGTTTAAATTACCATCTTGAAAAAGGCCACGTTTAATACTCAACAGTTGTATACAGTACTGGAGAAAAATGGCTCTCAGAAAAGGAAATCCAACACTCAAAAGAATTTAGACCAACCAGCTCAAGCAGGAAAAATTCCCACAACAGGTGCTTTGCAAGCGAACCAGGATTTTTTAGGTTCTATGAGAATTCCCGCATCTAGCTGAAATGAATAAGTATATTTGTACACCTATGTAAGTAGTCATTTTTTACACAGGAATGTTCAATAGAAGCCAGGGATTCTCACTGCTGACAGTGTGGAAACAAACCGCCCAACCCTTTTAATCATGATACTCTCCCCGAATATGACATAGGACATTTTAAGAAAATACTGCTTTTCAAAGTAAAAATTTCAAACGTTCAGCAGATACTGTTAGCCTGAAATGCTACAAAATCCAAAGGAAAAAAATCTCAGATTGAACAGTAACACTGTATTTCTAAAACTGGGTAAACTGCTTCATTTACAATCCCAAGAGGAAATACAAAATCTCCTTCCCTCTTTATTGGTATATTCAAACTTATTTATTCTACGATTGGCGTTTTAATTTCAATTGAACTTTGAATTTACTGAAGTAGCATTCCATTCTGACAGATACTAAACAACCAAAGTTGGAACCGCACATGAAGGGTATCCTTACAAACCTAACAAAAAATTTTAAGTGCAACGATAAAGAGCAACAACGAGGATACATTTTAGCAACGTTTAGTAACAGGCTAATTAGGTGAACGCTTCCACTCACAGCGCGTGCCTCCCACCAAAAAGAAATCCCCACGCACGGCTGTACGCATTTAAGTTTAAAAACTCACTTCTATATACACGTTAGACAGACAGTCACACCCCTCTTCCCCATCCCTGCCCTCCCCTCTAAGGTCAAAGGGCTCCAAACAAAAGACAACAAAAGCACGTGACGAAAGTTTCTCCCGACGCGCTCTCTCGAGGCCTAGAGGCCGTGCTCCTTCCCCGGCGCGGGCTCGCGAGCGAGCTGGGCCCCCGGCCGCGGGGCTGCGGCCCAAGGTGGGCAGGAGGGGCTCGGCCGGGGGCAGTCGGCCCCCGAGGAGGGCCCCAGCCCCGGGGAGGGGGATCCGGGCGCCGCGGACAAGCCGGGGAGCGGGCGCCTCGCGAGACCACCGGCGGAAGCGCGGGGCCGGGCCGCGGCCTGTTACCTTTTCCTGCTCCTCGCGGAGCCGCGCCACCTCCGGGGCGCGCAGCGGCGCCGCGGCCGAGGCCGAGGCCGAGGCCGAGGCGTGGGGCCCGGGGTCGGGCGGGGCCTCCATGGCGGGGCGCCCGGACCTCAGCGGGGCGAACGAGTCCTAAACAAGTGTTTATGGAGGCGGCGTGGCCGGCAGCTGCCCAGCGCCCGCGTGCTCGCCCTCATGCACTGCGCGCCCCGCGCTGAGGAGGCCGCGCCTGCCTTCTCCGCCGCCCCGGAGGCCGCTGCTCGCGTCCGGACTGCCCGCGGCCGCATCTCACACACGCATGCCGCCCGCCGCCGCCGCCGCCTCGGAGCAGCAGGCCGGCCGCCGAGAGCGAGGGGTGCCGTCCGGTGGCCGGGCCGAGCCGGGCGTCCTGTGGCGGCCGCGCCTCCGCTGCAGGCTCCGCCCCTCGCCCCGCCCCGCGCGGCACGCCGGGAAGCGCGCGCGGCCCCGCCCTCGCCCCGCCCCCGGGAGTCGCGCGGTTCCGGAGCCGCGCGGCGGGGGCTGGCGTAGGCCGGGGCTGCGTCTCCCTGGAGCCCGCGGGAGGCTTACGTTCTAACCGGCGTCCACGCACAGTGAGCGCTGACCTAGCTGTGTGCCCCACGTCGTTTGGTGCCGCGTCTGGTGGAAAGAACTTAATTCATGCACTAAAGCTGTTTCTTAAGCCATTTAATTTTAGCAAATTCAAATCTTTCCTGGGCCTGTTTAATGAATTAAAAATGCAATTATATTTCGCATGTGTATTAATTACCGCACACATTCTCATTTTTCCTTATACAAAGCTCTGGTACTTATGTTAATATAGTGCTATGTATGGAGCATTGAAGAGATTTGAGTAGCTTTGCCTATGCTTTTGCTCTTATTTTAGAATTCCTGTGCCGTTTCTCGTACAGCCACTGCACCCGTTAGGGGCCCAATTAATGCTTACTGAATGGAAGTGGCCGTGCGCTAACAACCATCTCTGCTCCAGGCCCTAACAGTAGGGATGGTTCCTGTTCCTTCAGCCTCCTGGTGCAGAGGGAAGTAGGCTGGGACATGCATGCGGTTCACACCCTGGTGTGCCTGCCGGCTCTCCTCTCCTGGCCAGCGCTCTGTCTGGACACACCCTTTTCCATTTGCTCCAGAGAAACAAGGACAACTTGGGCAAACGGTGAATGCTAATTCCTCTCCTTTCCTCACTGCGTATCCAAACTCAGCACCTCTGAAACAGCCGGACCCTGCCTGCTCTGACCTCCTGCTCTAGCACCACCATCATCTCTATTCTCACCCACCTCATAGCTTTTCGCTGGTCACCCTGCTTTCACTCATGCCCCCCTGGAATGGGCATTGGCCACTGCCCACCTACCACCCCACCACCCCTCATCCACATGGTCAACCTTAGCCCACATGGCTCCTGTGCTTATGGGAGCTGACCCGCCCCAGCTCCAGTTCAAGGGCAATGCTTTTTCCCTGGAAGTGGCTGGTTCCAGAGGGACCATGCGACACTCCACAGATAGACGTTTTCTGGAGGCTTCTGAGAAAGTTCTTCCTCACTCTTTGGAGCTGCTTCCATAAGGAATCTACCCGTCCCTTGGCAGGGATGAACGAAGCAGGTAGCCTTGTGTGTTTCAGGTCTAGGAAGGCCACCCAGGCACATCCCAGACTCCAAATGAAGTTGAGTCTGTGGCCCACGGAGCCTGAGTCCTGGACTACCTCCTAGCACTGTTTCAGGACTGAAGCCACCACCATGGAAGGAAGCCTGTGTTACCTCTGGACTTCTGGTTAAAGAGGCCAGGGAATTTCCTGACTGGTTCCAGCAATTTGCATCAGGACTTCCATCACTGGCAGCCAAAGACACCCAATGCACACACCCCCAATCTCCTCACAGCTCAACAGCCTGAGTGAGCTTTTTAAAAAGTAACCAGATCATATCCTTCTCCTCTGTAGAGCCCTCCCTGACTTCTCACTGCAATCAGGATAAACCCCAGATACCCTACTGGAATTCTGCATCACCTGACCCCCCTTTCCCACCTCCTTTGCAAGCCCCCTGCCACTCACACCAACCACAGTGGCTTCTCTCTTCTTCAGATACTTAAGACTAATTCCTGCCTCAGGGTCTTCACTCTGGCCAGCCCTTCTGCTGGCCATCCTTCTTCCAGGTCTTTGCATGGTCAACTCCTTTGCATTAATCAGGCCTCAGGGCAAATAAAGAGGCTCTCCTGATATGGCAGTGGTATGTATGATTTTAAGCTGACTATTTCATTGTATGTGTATACCACATTTTCTCATTCATCCATCAGTGGACTCTTAGGCTGTTTACATATCTTGGCTATTGGTAGTAATGAACACGGGAATGCAGATATCTCTTTGAGATCCCAATTTCAATTCTTTGGGATATATCACCAGAAGTGGAATTGCTGGATCATATGGTAGCTCCATCTTTAATCTTTTGAGGAGGTACCATACTGTTTTCCATAGCAGCTGCACCATTTTACACTTCTATTATACCTACAGCACACAAGGGTTCTCATTTCTCCACATCCTTACCAACACTTGTTATCTTTTGCTTTTTACAATAGTCATCCTAACAGGTGTGAGGTTATAGTTATTGTGGTTTTAATTTGCATTTCCATGATTATCAGATTTGTGCATCTTTCCAGATATCTGTTGGACATAAACAATTCTTAATATCATCCAATATCCAGTCAGGTTTCAAATTTTGTGGAACTTAGAGGGGGGAAAAGCGCCCGGCCCCCCTCCAGGCCTGCTGAATCATGATCTCTGTTTCAACAAACTCTGGGGTGGTTTTTCCACAGCCCAGCTTGGGTAACCTGCCATAGCCAGCAGCTTCGGCTGGACACGTCTCCAGTGATGGGGAACTTCCATTAGGAGACAGTCATCATTGTAGGGAATGCCTTCCTTTAAAATTGTTTTGCTCTTAGTAGAGGCAAAACTTGAATGTATTTTCCTTTGAAACAATTAAAACATGGCAGATAAGAATGAAGTGTCCTTGGTCCACAATCCCCAGTGCTGGTCCCATTCTCCAACCCCAAGAACTATCAGTTTGGTTGGTATCTTTCTATACCCTTTTCTGTGCTTTCAAAATTTCCCCTTAAGCTGTGCCCCAAATTTGTCTCCCTGGAGTTTCCAAGCTTTTTTGTGTGTGTTTCCTCTGTTTCTGAATTGCCTTGCCAAAATTTGAAACTGGCTCTTGTGGCCTTCCAAGTTTTTCCTTCGCCAGCCTGGTGTCCCCTTTTCCCCAGCCTTGACAAGGTCACGGTCTTATTGAGGTTGAGGCCTGGCTCTCTGTGCCCTGGAATCCTGCACCAGGCTGCATTTCTCCCCAAGGCTCCTGGCTCCCCAACCCATGGGCATGTAAACAAGAGGAGGTACACATAGAGATGAAGCAAACTGGCCATGAATAGATTGTAGTTGAAGCTGCCGGGGGAGGTAGGGCATGGGAAGAGGCATTATGCAATCCTTTCTTCTCTGGCACATGCTTACATTTTCCATAACAAAATAGTGAATGATTAAACAACGAGATCCCACTACATACCTATCAGAATGTCGAAAATCCAGACCACTGACAAGGCCAAATGCTGGTGAGGATGTGGAGCAACAGGAACCCACATGCATCACTGGTGAGACTGCAAAATGGTGCAGCTACTTTAGAGACAGTTTGGCAGTTTCTTACAAAACTAAACATACTTACCATACAAGCCAGCAATCATGCTCCTTAATATTTACCCACGTTGAAAACTTATATCCACACAAAAACATGCACATAGGTGGTTATATTGGGTTGTTGGAAAAGTCATGACGCATGTTTGCAACAGATGGCACTAGTTCATTTTTGGAAGTACTGGAGTCATTCGCATCTATGTTATTGTTATGTCACTTGACAGCTGACAGTTCTAGCTACATTCTTTAAAAATATTGAGCGATTTAGTTGAGTTTTGGAGATTTTACAACAAGTTGAAGATGGAAGACCACACTATGCATTTTTACCATATTTTACTGTTTTATTTCCATAAAGGGAAGAACGCACATCAAGCTTGTAAAAAGTTGCATAAAGTTTATGGTGACAATGCTCTACAAGAACGTCAGTGCCAAAGATGGTTCACGAACTTCCGTGCTGGTGATTTTGATCTCAACGACACTCCTCGGTCAGAGAGGCCCACCGAGGTTGATGACGACAAAATAAAAGCATTGATTGAGTCAAACCCATGCTACACAACATGAGAGATTGCAGAAACATTGAACATCTATCATTCAAGTGTTCACGACCACCTGAAGAAGCTGGGATACGTAAGTAAGCTCGATATTTGGGTTCCGCATGAACTCAAAGAAGTTCATTTGACGGCGCGTATATACATCTGCAATATGCTCATTAAACATGAGGAAAACTATCCTTTTTTGAAGCGACTGATAATGAGTGATGAGAAGAGGATTGTTTACAACAATGTGGTGTGCAAACGGTCTTGGTCCCAACGTGACGATTCGCCTCAAACGACATTGAAAGCAGACATTCATCAGAGGAAGGTTATGCTCTCAGTGTGGTGGAATTTTTAAGGTATCATGTTTCTTGAGCTCCTACCAAGGAACCAAACAATCCAAATGTGTACTATCGGCAATTGTACAGTTTGAACGAATCCATCATCCAGAAATGTCCAGAGCTTGTTAATTGTAAAGGAGTAGTGTTCCATCGTGACAACGCGAGACCACACACAAGTCTGATCACCGTCAAAAATTATTGGAACTTATTGGATTGGATGTGTTGCCACACCCACCATATTGGCCTGACCTTGCGCCATCAGACTTCCACTTGTCTCGCTCTCTTCAAAATTCCTTACGTGGTATAACGTTCAATTCAGATGAGGCTATAAATCAGCACCTTGTTCAGTTTTTCGCAAATAAAGACAGGTCCTTCTATGAACAAGGAATTATGAAGCTCACTGAAAGATGGCAAAAGGTTATCAAACAAAACGGGCAATATATCGATTGATCTTTGTTCTTTATATAAATAAATGACCCTTGAAAAACATAGACAAAATACGTCATGACTTTTCCAACAACCCAATTGTAGCTTTATTCATATTTGCCAAAACTTGGAAGTAACCAAGATGTCCTTCAGTGGGTGAATGAATAAATAAACTGTGGTCCATCAGTGAAATATTATTCAGCTAAAAAGAAATGAGACATCAAGCCATGAAAGGACATGGAGGAACCTTACATGTGTATGACTAAGTGAAGGAAGCCAATCTGAAAAGGCCACATACTGTACGATTCCAACTGCATGACAGTCTGGAGAAGGCTGAACTATGGAGACAGTAAAAGATCAGTAGCTGCCAGGGGCTGTAGGGGCAGGTGGGGGATGCACAGGCTCACACAAAGGGTTTAGGGCGGTGACACTAC